TTCTCAACAGGTTGATGCACTATCAGTCACACATCTGAGGGCACGCATGAAAGCAGTGGACTACAAAGCAGTTTACCACAGGAGCAGAGTATAAATTATTTTTTCTTTCACTTTGTTTTATTTATACTGAAAATATGACTATGTCTTGCTCTATTGAGTTGTTTCTTTGAAATATAATACAAATAGTTTAAACTTCGAATTTTATTCCGCTGTTAACCTGACCAATCTTTATGTATTTTTATGAACAAGCATTTGGCTATTTAATTTTTAAATTGTTTTTATTACAAAACGAAATTCATTTCTAAATCACAACACTTGCTTCACACTTAGCAATTTCAAAAGTACGGTCTGCCGGGGGCCGATTCTACCAATCGAAATAATGAGCGACTAGGGAAATTTCCCTCTATATCCCTACGCTTAGGTTGGCAAGATATTGAAACGCCCCCGTGACGTCACGCCATTTAGAGGCCCGCTGGTTTAGCAGGCAGTCGCCTGGGCACCGCCGGGCATCGAAACTAAACAGTAACACCCGCTTTTAGGTTATTTTGTTATATTTACATACATTTGTTTCTCGCAACTCATCTAGGCACTGTTGTATTCACCTTTTTTCACACATTGCGCTCACTGTGATAATCAAGTTAGATCAGACACTCCTCAAGAATGGTTCGAAACGAGTAAGTATAATTGCTGTAGAGTTTCTTTTTGGTGTTTATGAAGGCAAGGTGGTGTCGCTGTTAGAGCGTTTTTTTCTTAAAATTTTGCTGACCGTACTGAACGTATATTTTTTCCGACCTAAATTCCAATTTACACATACCTACAATGTTTCACTGTTCATGCAACTTGTTAATAAGTTTGTCAGATGCTACATTCTATATTTTCTTAAATATTCTCTTGAGTTTGGTCATAGTTCAATGTCTATCAAAGTATTATCATCAAATTATAAAATGATTATGTATGCAAGGTGTTTATAACTGATCAATGACTTTCTTGCAGTCATCATAGAAAGCGGTCTCGGAGTCGATCAAGGGACCGTAAGAAGAGGCGCCGAAGTCGTAGCCGTTCTCGTGACAGGGAACGTGAAAGGGAAAGGGAACGAGAAAGAGAACGTGACAGAGAGAGAGATAGAGAAAGGGAAAGAGATCGGGACAGGGACCGTGATAGGGACAGAGATAGACATCGGCGTTCTCGCAGCAGGGACAGGAAGCAGTAAGTATCTGCAGCATCTGTAGTCGTCTAGTTGTTCAAGTAAAATTCTTTTGCTTTGCTGTTACATGTGGTGTATAATCTTTTCTTTTTTTTAGTGAGAAAGATAAGGAAAGGGATAAGGATAGAAGTAAACGTAATGCCAGTTCAAAATCCAAAGTCAAATCTTCTAAAGATTCAAGATCGAAGTCTCGCTCCAAGTCCCGGGATCGGGAAAGGAAGGACAAGGAAAAGGATAAGGTCGAAGACAATAAAGATGATGAGCCCTTCAACCCAGCCAACTTGGATAAGGTATAAACTATTCCCAAAACCAAATTTTGAAAAACAGTGTTTTACACAATATCAATTTTAGAGAAAAAATTAAATTATAACTAATAGTTTGTCTTAGTAAAAAGAAAGTACATGTTTGTTAACTATATTTTGTAGGAGGCTGAACAAAAAAGGTTAGAAGAAGAAATGAGGAAACGCAGGGAAAGAATAGAACTTTGGCGAGCAGAACGGAAAAAAGCTGAGACAGCCGAGGGAGTTAAACAAATTGTTAAAAATGCAACAGCAGCTGGTAAGTATGAAACACATTTAATTTCTCATGTATGTTAAATGCATAGAAAACTCTAATGACTGATTCCACAATTCTCATACAGTTAGTAACATTGTGGCATCAGGGCGCAAATGGAATCTAGAGGATGATGACGATGATGAAGAAGATGAGAAAGAAAAGGAAAAAAAGAAAGATTCCGAAGAAAATGACGAAGATTCAACTGAAAAAGATGATGAAAAGGCTAATGATAATGATAAAGACAATGATAAGGATAAGGACAAGGATAAGGATAAAGATAATGATGGCGATGCTGGGGGTGAGGTTGGAGGAGATGAAGAAGATTCTGAGAAGAAAGAAGAAACCATAGATGATGATGATGAAATAGACCCATTAGATGCATTTATGGCGGTAAATAATTACACCCTACTTTTTATTATTTTGAATCCCTATTTATTAATAATCAACATATTCTCATCACAACACAAATAAATTGCTCTTTATTGTGTGTATTTTTATCTATATTTTAATATTTTTTGTCATTTTCAGGGAGTTCAGGAAGAAGTTAGGAAAGTCAACAAACAGGATGCCAAAAATGCTAGTGCGTCAGCTAAGACATCTGGTGTGGTGATTGTGTCAGGTGTAGCAAAGAAGAAGTCAGACAAAAAGAAGGGAGAGCTAATAGAACAGAATCAGGATGGTTTAGAAGTAAGTGTATTTTCTGGTAAGTGAATCTAAGTGTTTTTCAATCACTTTTATCAATGCTTATACTACTCTGTTAAATTGACAGTATTCATCTGAAGAAGAAGAAGAAAATCTAAATGAAACTGCTGCTAATTTAGCCAATAAACAGAAAAAAGAGTTGGCAAAAGTTGATCACAGCATTCAAGAATATATTCCATTCCGTAAAAGTTTTTATGTAGAGGTTCCAGAGATTGCTCGCATGACACAAGAAGAAGTTGATGCTTACAAAGAGGTTCAAATCATACTTATTTTCATGTTTGAAGTTGTTCTGGTAATATATTGTGGTTGTCATTAACCTGTCCTTTCTTCTAGGAATTGGAAGGCATTCGAGTTAAAGGCAAGGGTTGCCCAAGACCAATCAAAACATGGGCACACTGTGGTGTAAGTAAAAAAATGTTGGAGGTTCTTAAAAAGCATAATTATGAGAAACCAACCCCAATCCAAGTTCAAGCAATCCCTGCTATTATGTCAGGTCGAGATCTCATTGGTATTGCCAAGACGGGTTCGGGGAAAACACTGGCCTTTGTTCTTCCTATGTTGAGGCACATCATGGACCAACCACCTCTTGAGGAATTGGATGGTCCTAATGGTAAGTAATTTGTTTAATTATCTATTGATTAAAATTTCTCCCTATTACACCATCTTTTAACAGGCAATATAATTTTGGGTGTTTGTTTCAGCTGTGATTATGAGTCCAACAAGAGAGTTATGTATGCAAATTGGCCGTGAATGTAAGAAGTTCACAAAACCTCTTGGGTTACGTGTTGTTTGTGTTTATGGTGGGACAGGAATTTCAGAGCAAATAGCAGAATTAAAGAGAGGTGCAGAAATAATTGTTTGCACACCTGGTCGCATGATTGATATGTTGGCTGCAAACAGTGGTAAGTATATTATATAAGCTGCAATTAATTTCAAAGAAATGTTCCTGCAACTCTTTAAAATTTTAACTAATACTATTTTAGGTCGAGTGACAAATTTGAGGAGAGTAACTTACATAGTTCTGGATGAGGCGGACCGTATGTTTGATATGGGCTTTGAGCCACAGGTAATGAGAATCATTGAAAATGTTCGACCTGACCGACAGACAGTCATGTTCAGTGCTACTTTCCCCAGACAAATGGAGGCTCTGGCTAGAAGAATACTTAACAAACCCATTGAAGTCCAGGTGAGGTACCCATCCCATTCTGTAATAAATCTTATTCTGACATTTCTAATTTAGTTTTGTTCCAATTCATAAATATGTTCAGGTTGGTGGACGAAGTGTTGTTTGTAAGGATGTTGAACAGCATGTGGTAGTTTTGGATGAGGAGCAGAAATTTTTGAAGCTTTTAGAGCTCCTAGGTATTTATCACCCTCAAGGAGGAGTCATAGTATTTGTTGATAAGCAAGAAGCTGCTGATGAACTTTTAAAAGATCTGATGAAGGCTTCATATCCGTGTATGTCTCTTCATGGTGGTATTGACCAGTTTGATAGAGATTCAACTATTGTTGATTTTAAATCTGGGAAGGTGAAATTGTTGGTAAGTTTCCACTACCTTTCAGAATTGTGTGATACACTACAATATCCATCCTCATATATTAAGTTTTGAATTTGTGGTACATCTCTTATTAGGTTGCTACATCCGTCTGTGCCAGAGGCTTAGATGTAAAAAACCTTATTCTTGTTGTGAACTATGACTGTCCCAACCATTATGAAGATTATGTTCATAGAGTTGGGAGAACAGGAAGGTATATAATAATTTTATCAAGTTTCTAAACTTGTAAATTGTGAGTTACACTGCAACAATTATATGTCTTGATTTTTTCAGAGCTGGTAACAAAGGTTATGCTTATACATTCTTAACACCAGATCAAGAACGATGTGCAGGTGATATAATCCGAGCTTTTGAGCTCTCGGGTGTGGCAATTCCTGACGCACTTCGCATCATGTGGGACAGATGTAAAGCTAGAGCAGCTGCTGTAAGTTTTTGTCTGCACATACATTTCTGTTTGCTTCATTTACTTTGGTGTTAGAAGTTAAAAAAGAAATATAAATCAATTTTAGGAAGGCAAAAAGATCCACACTGGTGGTGGCTTCTCTGGGCGTGGTTTCAAATTTGATGAAAACGAAGCTCAGGGTGTTGCCGAGCGAAAGAAGTTCCAGAAGGCTGCTCTTGGTAAGAAACTTGGTGACACCAAAAGATTTTATTTTACTATATTTTCCTGATATATGAATACTATTAATTAAAACTGGACAATTTACCGAATTGTAATCTGACATTTACTTTAAATAAATAGGCTTGCAAGATTCAGATGATGAGGATTTGGAAAATGATATAGATCAGCAAATTGAAAGTATTATGGCTCCCAAACGAATAGTCAAAGAGGTGAAAGCTAGTGCTCTTGGTGCTCCAGGAATGCCAGGTGAGTTATTTGAAATGCTAAGTTCAATAATCGATGCAGTCAAGCTTCTTTTACATTGTATTTGAAACTTTAATTATCTTATTTAACTATTTCAGTTATCCCTGCAACTGGAACAACACCAGTTACTGGTCCATCTGATAAGTTAGAACTTGCCAAAAAGTTGGCCTCAAGAATACAAGTTGCTAAAAATTTGGGTGTGGATGCTAAGGTTATGACACAAGTTACAGCAGAAGCCATTCTGAAAGGTGCTACATCCGGAGGACAACCCCTTATTACGGTATACCAAATTACGTAGTACCTGTGTTTGTAGTGATATTAAATAGAAATATTTACTAATCATTCCTTAATTAACTTTCAGGCTAAGACTGTAGCTGAGCAACTTGCTGCAAAGTTAAACTCAAAGTTAAACTATCAACCCAAAGAAGAGGAGGATGAGAAGGTCAAAGAAGAGGAACCTGAAACCTTCAGAAAGTATGAAGAGGAATTGGAAATTAATGACTTTCCACAACAGGCACGGTGGCGAGTCACATCAAAGGTAAAGTTATTACCCTCATTAGTTGACAAAATATGTGCATGCATAGTATTTTTCTTTGTTTTTCCAATTTTTTACAACTAAACTGATGATGGGAATGTTGCATTTCTTGTTTAACAGGAGGCCCTTGCTCAGATTAGTGAATATTCAGAGGCTGGTATTACTGTCCGTGGAACATTCTACCCACAAGGCAAAGCACCTCCTGAAAATGAAAGAAAGTTATTCCTCGCCATTGAAAGTACTAATGAGATGGCTGTGATGAAAGCTAAAACTGAAATCACAAGGTTGATAAAGGAAGAATTGATGAAACTACAGACATCAGGTCATCATGGTCTGAAATCACGCTACAAAGTTTTATGACAACCTAACATTAATCTACGTGAGTTGCTTAAATCAATCAAAACACGCGAAACATGTAATATGTCCCCTAGTTTTAGGTATTTTTATGTAGGTACCTCTACACTTTCTTTAGAATCAATGAATTTGTACCTGTTACCTTATTTCCTTAGATTCTGTATCACTGTCTACTTAAGTATGATGTAGATATGCGATTTCTTCAATGAACTTGGTAGATATCTTGTATGTAAACAGATACTGTGCATGAAAGTAAAGGATGTAAAAGATGAACTCTTAAAATAACTGTGCGGTAAAATTTTATGAAAGTAAATCAGTCATGTTTTTATTTTTACATCACATGCTTCGTGTATGTAAGTTTGACTTAAGCTTATTGACTGACAAGGCTGTTCAAAAAGCAATCAAAAGCAAGAAACCATTTAAAAGACCGCGTGCCCAGTACCTTTTATGTACCTACACTGTGTACACTATCTGTTCTGTAATCATTAAAATCTGGCAATTTTTTTTCTTCCGTACATTATTTTTTGGTCCTAAGAGAGTACTAAATGACCCTTGTCTCGACCAATCAGAAACTTTCATTTTACCCGTTATTCCTCTTCCTCTGCTCTGCGCCCCGGGCCCACCCACTACTCCCTGCTGAGATGTTGCGATTCGATCTCGGGTATGGTCTCGCGTGGCTCTGAAGATGAGTGTCAGCGCCTTGCAGCCGCCGGGTAGGCAACCCAACCTACACCACTGCTGACGACCGCAAGGCACGCAAGGGGAGGGAAGGCCAGGCGGCCAGCCAGAGCTAGCCTGAGCCTGGCGCTGGCAAGAGCGGCTTCGTGCGCGCGAACAGGATGCTGTCGGCCGGGCTACTGGTTAGCTTTGAACTTTGAGCGCCCGCCACTAGGCCTTACTAGGCCGCTCGGCTGCACACGAAGAGGCGGGTAGACAACCGTCTGTACGGCCACGAGCGTGCCGTGCTGCCGCTCGTCACTTGCGCCAAATCAATGACGCCCGCTCCCATCCCGCCGTGAGAGACGGGCCTCGTCGTCACATGGGCCATCATCTACGTCGACACCTCCGAGTAGATGTCATTGTAGATTGTCATCTAGGAGGAAAGTCACGTCATTGTGAGGAGGGTGCGTTTGGAGAAGGCAACTCGCAATGCTGTCTCGCACGTGTAGCAATTTCATGCCGTTCGTACAAATGACTATAAGCCAGCAGAGCACTGTCGATAAACGTCTTGGCCATTTATTTGGGCA